AAAGCCGGGTCAGTTGTTCCGAGCTCCAGCACCAAACCGAGCTGATTACACCCCACTGAACGCGAAGCGGGCCGAAATCCTAATGGCGATCAAGGACGCCCCGTACGTGAAGTGGCCACCCCGTCTGAGGGGGAATCCCAATGAAAGAAATAAGAGTTTGTATTGCAGTTTTCACAATGACCACGGTCACAATACCGAGAGTTGTAAAAACCTCCGCGATGAGATAGAGGAAATCATCCATCGCGGATATTTGAGAAACTTTGTACAAAATAATAATAACAATAATAGTAATAGAACAGGTCGGCAAGGGGAGCACGGTAAATACGCCCCCGAGTCCAGCAACAGGCCGGCCGAACAACCGTAGAGGCAGCCTCCGGAGGAGACGCCAGTTCGGGGGACCATCCACATGATAGTGGGAGGTTCAATCGTTGTGGGTTGCACTTCAGCGGCAGCTCGGACATCGGTTCGTGAGGTCACCCGGGAGGAGCAGAACCCCCCGAAGCGGCCGAGAACGGAAGAGCCAATTTTTTTCACAGAAGACGATGCGCGAGGGGTCCATTACCCCCACGACGACACGCTCGTAATAAAGCTGAGAATCAACGACTTCGAGGTTAGGCGCATACTCGTCGACTCAGGCAACTCGGCCGACATACTCTTCAAAGCTGCGTTTGACCAGCTCCAGTTGTAGAGAAGCGACCTGAAGCCCGTGGACACTCCTTTGGTAGGCTTTAACAGAGAAGAAGTCCGACCCCTTGGGAAAATAATAGTACCTGTAGAGATCGGCACATGACCTTGTGTGGTCAGATTCGAACACAACTTCCTGGTGGTAGCGACCCCTTCTCCCTACAATGCCATAGTAGGTCGACCGATCACCCATGTCCTACGAGCGGTGGTCTCCACTTACCACTTGGCTATGAAGTTCCCAACAGACTTCGGTGTGGGAGTAGCGCGGGGTGACTAGCTCGAGTCCCGCAAGTGCTACGTTGCCACCCTAAAGGGGAAAAACAAGGTGGCCGATGACCTTGAACTGGAACGACCCACGGAGCAAGGCGAAGAGCGAGCCGCGC